CACGTATGTTCGTTAGGGGGGGGGGTACATTTTGCCCTTCACGTATGTTCGACGTTTTGATTCAGTGGGTGAAGAATTTGTCTATGTCAAAGCATGCATCAACAGCCCAGCCAAAGTCAACACAGAACCATTCAAATATGGTGGCATGCGGGCCCAAGTAAGCAGGACAATCAACTTCTACGGCACCGTGTTCTCATGTGTAAACAGAAACACGTGGACAAGATAAAGGCCGTATAGTGCCAGAAATATGCAAGATTGATAGACAAACAACTAAGAGAAAGAAAGAAAATTCGTAGGAGCTGCCAAAGGCTCCCTCCAGTCTCCAAAATACACAGACCACAGAGAGAAAAAATGTAGAAGCTACCAGTAGCGCCCTCCATTCGCTTGCTACATGGTCTGTTCTAGAGGCAAGAAATAATATGACCTTGAGAATATGTATTAGAATACACGTTTACTGCAATGTAATGTTCTCAAACAAGAAGATAAGGCCAGAAATACATAATAACCACCTCAATGTTTTTGACGTCACGTGGTCATCATCTGCCAGCCATAACGGTTTGGAGCGAGGAGTTCGCAACAACCTCGCAACGTGTGCAATTTCTAACCCAGACCCTTTGTACAGAGCCCCGTACCCTTGACAGGCGGGAAAATATTCCAGGGCTGAGTGGAAAATCTTTGAGCGCTCTCTGGCTAAATGGAAAGATAATGACTGTGATTGAAGTAGGGTAAGAGAGTTCTAGTTTTGTCATATCCGGTCAGTAGCCTCAGTTTTTATTCCAACACTATCCCTATAGTGAATGCTAAATCATGATTTCGTGATTGTTAAAAATTCCAACGTTCCTACTTTGGATTAGAACGGGGTTGTTTTGTTGTTGATTTTTAGGGTTTTTCTTTTTTTTTGGAGGGGGGGGTTGTTTTGTTTTGTTTGGGTTTTTCTGCTACAAAATGAAATGGTATTTCAGAAATGCTGTTTTTAATAGCATCGACCAGTACTAGGGGTCCTTATGTAATCGCATGCCAGTCCCAATGTCATCACATGGTAGTTTCAAGGTAGTCACATGGTAGTGGCAATATCGCCAAATGTCACCAGAGTTGACGTACAAGTCCGCAGTGGCGCAACATTTGACGCTATGGAGCTGTAAAGAGAAAAGGCCAAGTTATCCCTGCCCATAACCAAAAGAGTTTGCGCCGACGACCCTGACTCGGGAACTCACAAACCAAATTTCTGCCCTCCCCGATCGCCCAACTGCAACGGAGCCAATCCCCTTCCTTTATGCTTCAAATTAAGGTCAAATTGAATTTTCAGATGATTCTTTAATTCATGTATTTGCTATTGTGATAGTACATGAACTGTCATAATTATTTACCTCCTCTGAACAATGTCCCTCTGTGCCAGATGCGCACGATCCACACCAGTCTCCATGTCTGGGACCATAAGCCAATATTTTGGCCATAAAAGATAATGAATTTCTCCAAAGCCAAAGAGCACAAAGTCTCTTATGAAACTGGAACACGCGGATGACGATTGAAACACACGCTCATACCTTAAGAAAGCATTCTAAGCTTTGTGTCCAATGTGTAATTTCAATTAAAACTAAAGTTATCAAATTTTTAATAGGTTTTCAATTTATTTTAATTATCTTTTTTTAAGGGGGAAGGAGGGGGGGGAGTGAGGGG